GGCACCGCTACCTCGGGAGGTTCTGCAGCGTAAGCCGCCACCTCTGGAGATGTTGTAGCCGGTGCCGCTGCCTCTAGCAAATTCTAGCAAAATGCTTCTGGATGAGCAACTGTGATGTGACGTGACTCTGGATGAATAGCTGAGACGTGACGTGATGGACCGGATACGTAACAGCATCCATGCTGAATAATAAAATAAAATAAAATAAAATAATGCTTTTGGGTTTCAGCAAACATGAATGGACTGCAACATATTTCTGCATGCCTTGCAAACCAGTTTTCTTTCTCACATTGAAATATTTCCTGTTGAAACAGGAAGTTGGGGTGGGACATATTGACATGCCTATAATTTTACATATCGTTTGGCCTGTGCAGTTCATGGTAATATTAATGAATAGAAATGCTTGGTAACACTTTACTTAAAGCCTTTATGTACAATGCGTTATAAAGGTATTCATAATGTGCATTGCAATGTGTTGTATCTTTTCATAAATAATTTCTATTTATAGTGCATTACATTTTCTAAAGGTCTAATAATGAATAAATAAATATTATAATGTATTATAACTATGATTACAATTATTCATGAGATCATCCAATGCATTTTAAGGTGCAAGATACAAGGCTAAATTAATGCATTAAAAATACTTTTATAATGCATTATGTGTAAAGGCTGTTGTAAGGAATGTTGTTGTGATTGGGAATCCAAATCAGACATACACTAAACATCTATTTCTACTTCATGGAGTCTTGAAATCTCTCAACTGTGGTGCAGGATAGAAATCATGACTGTGCAAAGCAAGTCCTGAGTAAATCAGATATCCATGGGCTTTATTGAGCTCCATAAGTAGGAAACATGTTCTCTCTCACTCTCTTCTTCAGTATCTTGTGTCTTTCTCTGTCTTGCACTGGCTGCATTAACATTCCTTTGAAGCCTGATTCCAGAGCAGATCATCATCTTCCTCACCATCTTTATCTGTCTCTCCTGATCTGCTGTTTGAACTCTCGCTTTAGCTCAGCGTCGTGATGAAGGCTGTCTGTGTAATCCATTGCATTCTTTAAACATGAAACCAACATTTACTTTGGCTTACTTATAATCACACACTTCTGGTCTTATTGTGAAGGATTCGGTGCATATTACGCCATAAATAAACACCATGTTGCCAATATGTTTCCTGAAGTGGGTTCACTGAATGAAACTGACCTCAGCACAGATCACACGTGTGTTTGAGTTAAACACAAAAGCCAAAATAGCTTTTCCCTCGTTTTTTCTCATGATATGTTTTTTTTTTTTTCTCGTGATCTTTTCTTTCATCATGTGTTGGTGCATTACTTCTCTAGGGACTGGCTTGATTCCAAGAGCTCTTTCACTCTCTTGTTCTTTTGCTTTTGCTTGTGTCATATTGACAGTGAGCACAATGATGACTCATGGATGCATGCTAAACTCTCATTGGATGCAGCAGTTGTGTGTGAGTGTGTGTATGTGTATTATTTGTATTTTATTTATTTTATGCATCATCTTTAATAAAAAACAATAATAACTTGTCTAAAATTACTTTTGTTTTCTACTGACGCAACCAGGAATGCATGAACAAGAAAAATATATATATTGATTGATTGAGATTGTAGTATTCACAGTTTTTTTTTACAATTTACAAATGCAAATCTGGTGTAAGATGTTCTTAATTAAAAAAATTAACCTGCATTCACAGTTCACCCACATTCATTTACATTTTAAAATGTTTTTGTGTGATTTCATTTTTATCCAAAAAATATTTTAATTAAAAAAAAAATAATTGTTTAATTTTAGTAGTTTAACCAATCTTAGGAAATCAGTGAAATAAATAAAATCCTAAAAAGTTATGGACATTTTTATTGTTAATTTAAGTTTTTCTAATTATGCTTAGCTTTAAAATATTTAGTTGGGTTGACATTTGTGTTTTGATTTATTTATAGAATAACTTTTAGAATTGAAAAGAAAATTTATTTCAAAGCTGAATCAGAAATCAGAAATCATTCAAATATGCTGATTTGTTCAAGAAACATTTCTGATTTTTATCAATGTTGAAAACAGTTGTGCTGCTTCATATTTTTGTGGAAACTGTGATACATTTTATTTTTCAGGATTCTTTGATGAATAGAAAGTTCAAAAGAACAGCATTTATTTGAAATAGAAATCTTTTGTTACATTATAAACGTATTTACTCTTAAATAAATTACTTGTATTTAATTAAAGAATTTAATTTCTTTAATTAAATTGTCACTTTTAATCAATTTAATGCATCATGTCTGAATAAAAAAACAAATGGCAGTGTATGTACCTCATACATTTAGTAGATCCAAAAGTTTTTAAAAGTGTTTAAAGTTTTAAAATTCCTTGTTTTATTTTTGTGATTATTTTTTATGATTATTTTACTTTATGTAAAGCACTTTGAATTACCATTGTGTACTAAATGTGCTATATAAATAAGCTTGCCTTGCCTTGCCTTGCCAAACACTGAATGAATATTAATGTTCATCTGTAATTCTACCTCATTTATAATCGTCTCTTGTATCATCTGGTGTCCATTTATAAGCATGTATCTCCTCTTTGTGTTTGTGTTGCAGTAAGTGACAGCTGCTTTCGCAATCTCGCTGAGGACCGCAGCGGGATCAACCTCAAAGATCTCGTGCACGACCCTTCCTTGTGAGTGACCATCACAAGAAACACACATTTTACACTTCAAGTTATTTAACTCTTGTTATTTAAATATTTGTTGCACTGTAACATGCTGCATAACTTCAGTGGCCTGTTAGCTTCAGCGCTCATGTAATCAGACATTCATGCCATCCTAATCACTGAACGCTCGTCAGGAGTTCAGGCTGTTTAACAGCGGCCTGCAGTTTTACATGCAAAACATGTGGTTGCATTGAGCCCTTGATGGATATTAATGTCAGAAGGACTCATTGTCACGGTCACACTGCGCTGTAATGAAGTGTCATCGCTCATGTCATTCTACATGAATGAAATGTGTGTGAAGCATATCGAACAGTTTAACCACATCCACATCTACACACTAATACATGCAGAAAATAACTTACATTTTAACAAGCATTTATTTTACTTTATTTATGATTAAATGCAGCATTAAATGCTTTGAACTTGCAACTGATGCAGAATTTTATCAATCACTGTAAAACGTCTCAGGTTACTTATGTAACCATTACATAGGGAACGAGACACTGCGTCCTCTAGGGGTCGCTATGGGGAACGCCTCGCGTTTTAAGAGAGGACGTCTCACCCATAGAAAGATAGCTAGCCAGCCGTCTTTTTTACAGGGGTATCCTCTCATAGTCTTTCCGCGCATCGCCTCGATGTTGGCATAACTCGTATGCTGGAATCGATGAATGCGT